AGCGGAAACGCTAGAGCATTGGTAAAGGCCACTTCACTAGTGGATGCTGAGAGGATACAAACCACCTGGTCTACAATGTACTGTCCTCAGGTCTGCTCAGGCTTAGCCTCCCCTAGCCCCAGCTGTGTAAATACACTGTAAGAAACACAATCACAAATTCCAGTGCAAAGCTGATCAATAAGGGAGCTTGACCCACAACCTAGGTGTAGATACTCAACAAGATTATCATTGAACATTTGGCCACAACTTAAATACTGCAGGAGGAATAATGTAAAAATAGAAGCTTAATGAGCCCCGTACCACAAAACTCTGCAGCTCTGTATAGACCGATAACCACCAAAGACGGTAGGGTGGGAGCTTAAAGTGTTTATGCCCTGGGGACCATTACCTCATAATCAACCCAAGACAGATGTAAGGAATAGAAGCATCACATTTAAGAGTGCAAACCTTTGGATCATTGGCATAAATAGTAAAGCTCTCCATCCTTTGGTCTTGGTCAGTGTTAAAAAGAAGAAAGCAGCTGGCCACACCAACGCTCTTTCATAGCCAAAGCTTTGATTTCAGAGAGTGACGATTAATGTTAAGAAAAGGAAAAACTAATGAGAGGTTACACAAAGACAGACTCTGGAACTGTAATTTGTTAACAATGCACCAGTGTTTTTTTTTTTTTTTTAATGAAAAGCGACTATAATTTGGAAGAAAAAGTATTCAGATTCTTCCGCTGATTTGTTCACAAGGGCATTACAAACTGACTACTACAAGAAGACAAATTACCAAAAGTGACAAAAAGTGAAGTTCAAAGTGACACTTAGTGGTCCACATCATCCTCCCGCACAGATTCCTTCCTTTGCTTAACACATCCTGTGTTTGTCCTTTGGTGTCATGCAGCCTTTAGAGTCATCCATCTTTTCTAGCAGTGTCTGTGCTCACAATGTGTCTGTGGCCTGTTTGGTCTAGGACATACTTAGCAAACCTGTTTACCCTTGAGGACACCACAAGTTTCTAGTTTTAGATTATTTGCAGATACAACCACTGAGGGTCTGAAACTGTGAATTTTTAATGTCAGCAGAATCCATAGTCACATACAGTTTAACAATAAATGCTGACTGTTTTCACATTTCCAGCTTTTTGAATGTTATTCACAAGTTTATCCAAACTTTCTTTTATGAAAGTAAAAAATAATAAAAAATTAAGATCATTTGGCCAAATCAATGATGACCAAATTTAGTTTTTTAAATTCTTTGGTCACTATGAGGAAGTCGTTAAAAACAACTGAATTAATTATAAGTGAAAGAATTTATTTGGGATCCAAATGAAGATCATAAGAGCTGTCGTATTGGACCACATTTTGCAGCTGGTGGAAGTAAACAAGAATAATCTGGGATGCAGAAACATGTGCGGTCAATGTTGAGTCGGTTTAAGTTTGCTGACACATGAAACGAGTCCGAGCAATACCCATATGTAGTAGTTGCCACACCTTGGTTGTTTTTTGTTTTTATTTGATGACAACTTTAGTGTTGGTCAAAGCCCATTGTTGTAGCTTATTGGAGAAGCTCTCAGCCACATTAATTACGTTAAAGTGGCTCTCCAAGGACAAAAGGTTGGAGACCCCTGGTTTAAATGAACAGATTTATCTACTATGTGACATTCACCCTGTCTGTGACTCTGTTTCCACCAACACCCTGCAAACATTTTACTAAGGGCTACATTATAGTTATCATTATTGTCAACCACCATATTATATTCACCATCACCTCCAATATAGTCATGACCTCAATAAGACATCATCACATTCGTTTTCCCAAATAGACAACTGTGTCCGAGGAAGTGATGTTGTTCCTCCAAGATAATTAAAAACATTATTTGTGAGTAAATACCATGTGTACAGCAGATGGAGACCAAAAGAAGTGAGCTGCATATTTGCATTTGTGGGTTCTTCATTAGTAAAGATTTAAAGCAGCTGATTCACCAGCTGTACTCTTCTATGAACACGTAAGATGGAAACCATAGAGCATCTATACTGAACCGCACCGATGTCTGGATCCTTAACAACTTGGGCCAAAGAAATTTGTTGTTGTCGTTCGTTTACTTGTTTATGTAGTTATAAACACAGTTTAAAAGCAATTCCATCACAAATTAATAAATGCATACATGCATTCACATTTTAAAGGTACGGTTGGTGAATCTGGAAAAACCAGCAAGAGGAAGCTTAATTTTGAAAGTCCTTAGAAATCCAGCAGGGGGAGAAGTGAAGAGGGAAACCAGCTAGGCTTTATTCCATCTTGGTAACACAAACAGTACATGTGGCCTTTGATGCCCAGTTAACTACATTACAATACCGTGTATACACTTAGAGCTGACTGATGCCCAGTTAACTACATTACAATACCATGTATAAACTTAGAGCTGACTGCTGCATGTAAAAGGAGTCTGTTCCGTGCACTGATCTTCTCGCTCTCACGTTGCATGCAGGTAACAACAACATCATTGCCTATAAGACTATAGATGTTAAAGGGGAAAACATGGCCTGTAACAATAGTCTCTCAAAGCCGCTGTGGGAACCTTTTCTGCCATAACTCGCTAGCTTTAGCTATCAAAACAGAGCGGTAACACATCACCCTGCCTGGCCTTGTGGGAGACTCCTGGCGCACAAGTAGAAAGTTAGGTTGACAGACGGATAGGCTGTCCAGTGCTTTTGCTTGGGATGAGTCAAATTATTGGTCAGGCTTTTTTCAGCCCTCCTGCTGCCACAGATGACGGATTTGTTTCTTCATGTTGTCAGTGCATTTAATGTATTTGATGCCATCGGGATGAAAAGAGAATTTCAAGATATGCAACAAAAAATACTTCTGAAAAGAATCACCAACCCTTTAAGTTGCTTTTACACCAACTGATTAATGGTATTAACTCAATGTTAGCTTATTCATTCATTCATTTACTTACCACACTTATTTGTCCAGTCCACACAATTGTCTTGCATTAATGTTTTCATCTGCTCTCAGTAATTCACCAGTTCAGTCTTTTGACTCTATCCATGGATTTGTTCTTTCATTTTTACATCTTTACATTTCATTTTACTGTTACATAACCACTAATCCATTCATCTTAATCATTCATTCATTTAATCACAAATCTCTGGATTTATTCATAAATTACTGTAATTAACACATGTATTCATTAATTTGTATGCATAAGTTTGTCTTTCATTATTCTGCTAATTTAAAATTCTTCCACTATTATATATAATTACATTTCACGCTCATCTGGACATTCATTTTTTTTCTTCATGCCGAGCAGCAGCATGTCCTGTTTTACACTAGGGAAACGGATTATATCAGCTGTAGTTCAATAGTCATGCACAGAAATATGAATGTTGCCACAGAAACAGCTCTGTTTTCAAGAATATTTACAGAATGCAGCCTGGAAATATTTGTCCCTGGTGCTCTGTCTCTTGTGAGTGAGCCAGCATGGCCGTGCACACACACGTGCTTCTTTTTCCCCCTCTTGAAAAAGTGAATCATGGCAGAGGATTATGAGTATGGCAGAGGCACAAACAGCCTGAAAGTGAAGCCTCTGCCTCAGCCAGCTGCTGCAGTTCTCTGTACAGAAGATAAAACTGATCCATGAAATCACACATTAAAAGCATTTCTTTAGCCAGCTCCGCTTTCCTCCTCTCACATTCCCTCTTCCCATTGTCAAGTTCCTCTGGGTTGCAAACATCCATTTCTACAACTTCTACAGTCTTATTTCAACAAGTCTGATAAGTAGGGGCAGGGTTTTATTGTAAAGTGGTTACAAGTTTTTAGCAGACAGAATGTCAGACTGACAGTTAAGCTCCGTGGGGCCACGTTAGCTAAAGAGATCCTGTAATTATTTGCCTGGGCCCAGACAATGCTGCTTTTGTGACACAGAGGTCCTTGTGGTGATCATACTGTAGGTCAAGATATCCACACACATTGCTGCAAATGCCAATGTGGATTCCAGCGCACTGACGACAGAGAGTGATGGTATGCATGCTTGTCTGAAGGACAAGATGAAAACTAATCAAATTAAGCTCTAAGACATAACTGACAGCAGCCTTCATGTTTGATGATAACCTTCCAACACACCCATTCAGAAATCAGTAGCATGGTATCAGCTTCACTCCTGACTGCACAGCCCGTCCGTCAGTTTGCACTTGTGAGGTTTTGCTCGTTTTCATTTGCTGTGGAAAAGAAAGCCTGCAGTTTTCCATCACTAACTGGGAAAATGTTGATGTGTCCTGATTGAGCCATTATTCATGGAAAGAAACTAGATTCAAGTTGTGAAAACAGCAAAGCATTACAGGGGCTCTGGGATAGAAATGAAACCATCATACAACAGCACAGAAGCTAGCAGCTGTCTGTCTTATGAGCTCTGATGTTGTGATGTAAACCTGCAAACAGTGGTTCCAAAAACTTCCCAGAGGTTCCAGAAGGGTTTTGGGAAAGTAATGTTTCACTTTTCACACCATTAATAGCCTGCATCCAGTGAAAACTGTTATGTACAACATGGACCCAGGTCAATCCAACACTAAGCATATGGTCTTATCAAAGTCCAAACCATGAACAGTCAAATCTTTCCCATGATTCCTATACAGGCACTTGAATTATCACCCACATGTCAGTAAAGAGACTAGACAGTTTGTAGTGAAAAGTGAAACCACTGCTAGAATATTAACTTAAAACCCAGCTTGCCTTTCTGAAGATTTTTTTAAGCCACAACATCACTATTACTATTGTGTTAGTATAAAATGAACACCAAATGTAGCAATGCATCATTTAAGTAGTCACACATGCTTGTCTAGGCACATTTCTCATACTGTCTCTCGGTGCAGCACTTACAATATTCCATTCAAGGACTAGAGCCAAACAGTTTCACCATTCATACTGGGCAAATGATGAAAACATCTGAGCCAGCAGAAAGTTTACCAACAGCTAAAAACATGCAGGATGCAACCAACAGGCAGAGAGTGTACATACCATCCAGCAGCTGATAGGCGGTGCAGCACTGGCAGCAGACCCAGAGGACTAGTGGGAATAATCCAGAGAAGCAGGGTGGGACACTGGGGAGAAAGAGGTAAAGAGAAAACTAACTAAAAGTTTACTTAAACTATTTAGTCATAAAAACACACAATGCCTTTCATTTACCGTGAAGTCATCTTTTGTGATGTGAGCTTAGATCCACACTAGAGTGGCCCTGTTCATGTGCAATATTGGCAGAGAGAGAGAGAGAGAGAGAGAGATGGAGTCCACTCTGCCTCTCTCTCACCTACTCCAAACTAAAAGTCTCTCTCTGCCGCCGTTCTCCGCCTCTTTTCTCTCTCTCTCTCTTCAGTTCCCAGTCAAACAAAAGCAACTCAGAGCCTTGGGACTCGCGGGGCCTGAAACCTGAAACCTGACTCACTGCGTCTTTGTATGGACCACCGCTTTCTGATCCAGCCCTCTCCTCGGACATCACAACTACAGATACAAATTAACACACTCCAGTTAAATCCCCACCCCACACTTCTCCTGCTCCTCCTCTCTGGTGTGGTTTCTCACACTTTCCCCTGCGCTTTAAAGCACTTTTTTGTGTGGCCTTGATGTATGTGGGGTGGGGGGTGCAACATCAAAAATCTTCTTCAAAGTATAGCAGCGACAGGAGGTTATCACTGAACCGAAGGAGGCATTCAAACATCACTGGCTTCACAGGAATGTGGTTTCAATCTGTAGTTAAGCTAATTCCAAACATCTGCTGGGTAAATACCACCTTATGTACCAAACATCCTGATCCTGATGTATCTCTGGTAAAACAGGAATCATTCATTAATCTATAAATGTCTTTTTCAATGTATTAAGGTAGGTAGGTACTTTATTGATCCCACAGTGGGGAAATTTCTGTGTTACACATTTAATTTAAGGCAGTAAAAGCATAGTTTCTTCTTGTCAGTGAATGTTTCCCCACATCTATCATTTTGAATCAAATTAGATTTGGTAAGGTCAGCCATACACCCATTTTCCAGTGCTTCATACTCACATATGGCTTTATGCACTTCAGGTGTGCAGGCATGAAAAACTATGCAGGGTTTGAAGACCTCTCTCAAGGTCTCTTTCTTTGTTTACACAACTCTTGCTATCACTGTTTCAGTGTGCAAATGGGTGCAACATTACGAATAACTTCCAGGAGAATTCATCTGAAAAGGTGCTTGAAATAACTATATCATCTTCCTCTTAACAGTCATACAACACACGTTGTGGTTAGAGGGTGATCATGGTTTGGTAGGTTTAGGCATAAAAACTACTTGGTTAGCTTTACAACAAGATTGCGGTTTGGTTTAAAACAACCTTCGTCATCATGGCTACAATAATAAACAAGTGGTAGGATCATGGAAAAGCCAAGGATAAAACACTTCTCACACTGGAATCAAACAGTAATCTTCTGTAGGAAATTTCAGCACATAGAGGTCACCTAACCATAACTTCTTACACACATGCACCCCTAGGAAAACAAGATGTCCAGCATCACTTTTAGTGTTTTGAGCAACTTTAATGTAAAGACCAAAGACCAAGGCTCTATGCCAAAAGGTGCTGGTCTTTACATTAAAGTGTTCCTGGACTTTTTGTTTTCCAGTTTGTGCACTTTGACAGTGGGTGGAGCTGTGGCAGAAGTTTCTGCCACACATGCACCCCTACCTAGGAATCTGCCTGCTATTACACATCTATGGCTCATGTCTGTACAAAGACCAGAGTAGCACAGCTGGCACAGTGTTGCCAGCAATTTTACTTTGTCAGACCCAATCAAATAACCAGCTACTTTCTAACATATCTGAATTGAAGTGGTCAGCTTGCCAGTAAAATGACAACAGTGCTATTAAGACATACTTGCGCACAACATGTAGACAAATCTGAATTGAGTAGGATGTGATGCACGTAGCTGATACAAAGTTTATTCTGAAATGGTGCAGAGAAGATAGTGTTTAGCTTCGTGAACCAACAGCATAGCTGGAAACTGGTCTGACATGAAAATCAAAGACCTGCTCATCCTCCATGCAGAGGAAGAAACTACTAACCAGGATAACCTTTTATATTATTCTGTCTCGTGTGATGTTCACGTTGAACATTGTCGACTAGGTCCTGAATTTCACGCACAGCAGCTCTATGTCTGAAAGCCAAAAAGCAACTGCTACACGGCTACATGCAGCCCATAAAAGAGAGTAAAATACACAAACTCAATTCTCATTTTCCAGTCTGTGACACACATTGATTTAATGTACAGTGAAGTTCCACATCGCTGCTGGTGATATACCAGTGGTGAACAATCTGCCAAAATGTTTTTGAACTCAAGACTGTTGAGTATTTGTGCCAAATGGATTCTGCAGAGAACAAACACTCACAAAAACCCACTGGTCTAGCTGCAGGAGCCAGTGAAACAGCGAGGAGGCCAGATAAGGAGGTGTTCAGACCTCCTCTCTGACAGCTCAGACAGATAGGAGCCATCACGGCTGGTAGAGAGGCTGCATCAGTGATAAGCTGTCCTCACTTCACTGACCGATGACGCTGTCAGGTGACATTCCTCCCTCACACGATTATGCTGCAACTTAACTTTGGTCTTACTAGGCAATGGAGTATTACTTCTGGCCATAGTAAATTTAGCTGAGATAGAAGTCTTCATAACATAACTATGACTTTTAGAACACAACCACACCCGAAACAAGCAATGCAAACTGCATTCTCTTATGCCACAAGCATGTGCATGAAAGACTTTGCTAAAATAAAAGAAGGTGTAGCATTGAAAGAATCATTACCAACAAAAGCAAATTAGCTGTAGGCCTAAATAGACTAAAAGTTTCCACAGGACACCTGAAACAAAATGCGATGAATCTCACATTTATAAACGTGTGTGGGGAAACATTTCTTTAAGAAATGTTTGTTTTTGGCAAAAGAAACATACTCTGAAGGTTGTCAAGACTACATAGAGTTTTAGGTGAGTGTTCAGAGATTTCCAAAGCAGTCTGTGGGTTTGGAGATAAACATTCTTTGTGATGAGAGACAAGGAGAAAAAAAAAAAACAGCAACACACTGGCGTTTCTATGCGAAGAAAACAGTAACAGAGAGAAGGGGGTGAAGCCAAGGGATTTCAGCCTGTGGGTGGCTGCAGATTAAAAGGGGTCCAGTCTGAGGTCTTGCTGGTATGAGTCAATGAGATACCAGACCGCCATCGCTTTTAAACTGAAGGCTGGCAGAAAGCAGGATGAGCTGTCCAAGCTCACATTGATGAGCAAAAAAAGAAAATCAGCAGTATCTGGCTTTCAGTCTGAAAGTGTTGCCTTTTTTTTAATGAATTTCCATGTCATGAACCTAAGTTGTTTGTGATTGTAATAGGCTGTAATGCTGCACAAAGACATTCAGGAATGTAGTGGCAGAAAAGTCCACCTGGAATTCATAGTAAAATAATACAGATTGTGATATGAAACCTTTTGGAAGAAGGATAAATTAAAACCCCTATTTAATGATAATGATAGCTCAGTCCTGAAACTGGGATTAAAACTGATAGAAAAGAGGATTTTCATTACAGGAAATAACAGCCATGTGTTGTAGAATAAAGCAGGAGAAGGAGGTACGGCTCATAAATGTGACATTCAGTCATAGCTCCCCTTATCAAATGCTGTTTTTTTATTTAGTCTCATTTTCATTATGAAAATTCAATGAATATTTCTTGTCAATGAACTTAACACTGGGGCCAAAGGTTTGGTGAGCATTCTAAAGCCCAGTGATCATGTCCAGTTATCTTCTGATATAGCACTGATTTCCACAGAGAGGATCGGGCTATTCTGATGTAAGTCTCTGGGGCCATTGTCAGGTGACCTAGTGTGTCCTGCCATCACGCAAGCCAACAGCAGATTTTTGCAGCATGAATGAAACACCTGTCCCACCAATTCACAATCACATGGTGCCTAAGTAAACTGAGTGTGAGAGCAAATCCACAGGGGCATCATTAACTGTGAAGAACTAGTGCAGTAATAAAACCATTCCAAGAGGATACAATGCTTCCTCTTTTTCCTATTTCAGTCCACATAAGGTCAGTAAAAAAGGTAAGGTAAGGTAAGGTTGACTCATTTAATTCTAACTGAAAGAGCTAAATGCTATTTTGTTCAGTCCCCTGAATATCTGATCATTGTCTTCCTTATACAATACCTTCTGCATGCTAGTATTGTCGCTTCAAGTACCGCACTCAGCAGAAAGCAAAACTTAGAAAGTAGCTCAGTACAGTTGCAAGTCATTTCTTCATGATAAATCATCATTCGACTTGTTTCATAAGTAGGTTGGATAGCCAGGGTTTAGGCCAGAAATTTCACAACAATAGAACTAAATAGAAAATAGATACTGCCTTGGGTGTGTCATCACGGGTGCAGCGGGTCTGCAGCATTATGAAGCTTCTTCACAAGGTCAGGAATGTGTTGTGGGTTCAAAGGTCACACTACATCTGAGGGTGTGGATGTGGTAGAGCAGCAGCATGACATCGTATGTCAAAGGTCAGTTCAAACAAGAAAAAGTGCTTCTACTTTTGTTATTTTTTAAGCTGAAATCCAAACAAAATGTTAACAAAAGGGGAAATGTGCTACTGAACATAAGTAGGGTCAGAGTGATTGGCAGGGACATATGCTACAAACCTGCAAAATGGACCTGTATAGTCATTACTGATACATCAAGATGAAATGTATTGATCCAAGCTATAAAAACAAAATGGGCTGCACATTAATATCATGCATAGTGTTAAAGCATCGGTAAAAACATCGCAATGCAATTATCTTTAGTTTGACAATTCTTCTTTAAATAAATGTCTCCCTTTCCACTCGTTACTTTGCTGGACCCTGGTTGGGCTCACAGGTGTTTCAGCTGCTGGATCAGAAAAGCGTCAGTGTTTTCAGGCGGCGTTTGAAATTCCACTTATCTTTAGATTTACTACTCAAACGTGGGTGTAATTATTAACTCCAGGTGGAGTCGTCCTTAGAGGTGTTCTGGCTATAACTGCACAGTTCCAGTGGTTTTTACAGTGAAATGCCAAATGTTTGACTTCTGAACTGACTGTCCTTTGTTTGGCAATGAATCACAAGGATTACTCCGATGTAACCCTGGGTGATGGCAGGATGGTTTGTGTTTTTCAGGGAGATTGGGGTGGAGGCTGCATGGTAATTATAATGTTAAATTGCCATAATGTGTCAGCTGTCTGCTTGAAATTTAAAGAATAAATTCAAGCAGCCTGAGCGTAATGGAACCATCAGTGGCAGCAGCCAGATATCGTCCATTCATCCTGCACTTGGCTGCAGCTCGGAGGGGGAAAAGAGAAGTCCTAAACATTATGAAGGTTATACTTTGCAGCACTACCATACTCTGTAAAAGTAAGCTTTGTCCAAAAAGCATATACTTTTAGAACATTTACGTGAATATAAGTCCTAAAA